GGAATGGACTGGCTTAGTCGCTTCGGTGCCATGATCAACTGCGAGGGTCAGCGAGTGGTAGTTCGAACCCCAAGTGGGAGAGAACTGATTGTCTACGTCGAGGGCACCAGATTGGGATCAGGGTTTTGTTCGGCTGCCAGGGCTCAGCAGTACATTTAGCACGAGTGTGCGGGTTATCTAGCGTATGTGGTGGATGCGCGGGTCAGGGATCAGGTTTCAGTATCAAAGGTTCCAGTGGTCAGGGATTTTGCTGACGTGTTCCTAGAGGAGTTATCCGGAGTGCCTCCGGAGAGGCAGGTCGAGTTTAGGATCGACCTAGTGCCTAGTGCGGCCCCTATCGCCAAGGCGTCGTACCGATTGGCACCACCAGAGATGCAGGAGCTGTCATCACAGCTGCAGGAACTGTTGGGCAAGCAGTTCATTCGTCCGAGCAGTTCTCCGTGGGGGAGCGTCGATTCTCTTCGTCAGGAAGAAGGACGGTTCACACCAGAGGTGCATTGACTATCGGGAGTTAAACAAGTTGACGGTGAAGAACCGTTATCCACTCCCGAGTATAGATGATCTTTTCGATCAGTTGCAGGGAGTATCTTGGTTCTCTAAGATAGGCCTGAGGTCCGGGTACCATCAGGTCAAGGTTAGAGAGGAGGACGTAGAGAAGACCGCGCTCCAGACTCATTATGGACATTACGAGTTTTTTGGTGATGTCGTTTAGGCTCACCAACGTGTTGGGAGTATTTATGGATCTGATGAATCGGTTCTTCAGACCGATGCTCGATCGCTCAGTCATCGTGTTCATAGACGATATCTTGGTGTACTCCAAGACCCGAGAGCAGCACGAGGAGAATCTACGGGAGCTATTGGTAGTTTTGAGACGAGAACGGCTTTATGCCAAGTTCTCGAAGTGCGACTTATGGTGACGAGAGGTTTAGTTCCTTGGAAATCTCGTTAACAAGGAGGGGATTTTGGTCGACCTGGCCAAAATCGAGGCGGTTATGTAGTAGGAGGTTTCAATGTCTCCTACGGATATCAGGAGCTTTTTGCGATTGGCAGGGTACTATCGGAGATTCATACATGATTTCTCCAAGATTGCAGTACCCCTCACTCGTCTGACGATGAAGGGGGTGGATTTCCGATGGGGCCCCGAGCAGCAGAGTGCGTTTGAGACCCTCAGACAGCAACTATGTTAGGCCCCAGTCTTGACTCTCCCGGAAGGAGTTGAGGATTTTGTGGTATTCTGTGATGCATCCATCACAGGACTAGGAGCGGTCCTCATGCATAGAGGACGAGTGATAGCCTACGCGTCACCGCAGTTGAAGTCGCACGAGACGAGATACCCTACTCATGATCTGGAGTTGGGAGCAGTGGTATTCATTCTCAAGATTTAGACACATTACCTCTATGGGGTCCGTTGTACCATATACATGGACCACAAGAGCCTGAGACACATCATGGATCAGCCGAACCTGAACATGAGACAGCGCAGGTGGCTGGATGTAGTCAAGGACTACGACGGTGAGATCCTTTACCATCCAGGTAAAGCGAACATGGTTGCAGACGCTCTGAGCCGCAAGTCAGCTGGATCTTCTACCGCAGTGACATGTATGAGGATATCCATGGATTTTCCACTTGTGAGCTTGATCAGGGAAGCTCAGGCAGAGGGTATGCGTCAGGAGAACTGGAAGCTTGAGATCGAGGATTAGGGGTGAGAACACCCAGGTTGTGCAGGATAGCCGGGGATTATTGACCCGTTATGGTCGGGTCTGGGATCCGATGTCTGGTGGGGTCAGACAGATTGTTCTGGAGGAGGCTCATAAGTCTCGCTTCTCTATTCACCCGGGGGCCACCAACATGTACCGGGATTTGTGATTGAGTTACTGGTGGTCGTGCATGAAGCGGGAAATTGCTTGGTAGGTGGAGAGGTGTCTGGCCTGCAGGATGGTCAAGGCCGAGCACCAGAGGTCGCATGACAAGGTACAACCTCTAGAGGTTACCATGTGGAAGTGGGAGCAGATTACGATGGATTTTATCACCAAGCTGTCGAGGACGGCGAAGGGCTTCGATGCTATTTGGGTCATCGTGGATCGATTGACCAAGAGCGCCCACTTTTTAGCCATACGGGAGAGTTCATCGGCCATCGTGGGCCGAGAAGCTGGCCGACTTGTATATCCGCGATATCGTTGCTCGCCATGGGGTGCCAGTCTCTATTGTCTCATATTGCGACGTTCGGTTCACCTCCCGTTTCTGGCAGAAGTTCCATGAGGAACTGGGCACGCGGCTGCATTTCAGCACAGCCTACCATCCGCAGAATGACGGCTCATTATGCATGATGTTTGTTTATATGATATATGATTGTATGGCGTCGGTATTTTGGGGGAAACTCACTAAGCTTCGGGCTTACAGTTGTTGATTTTGTTTCAGGTACTTCTGATGATCGCGGGAAGGCGAAGGCGTGACCGTACACTTCCTCATGTTTTGTGATTTTGATTTCTGGGAAAACTCTGATATGGATTTATCTGAAAACATTTTGTAACAGATAATGGTTTTGGGATTGTTTGAAATGTTTTAAATTTTTGTGAATTTTAGGAAAACTCTTCCTAAAATTTGACTATTTAAATATTAAATTATTAAATTCATTTAATTCGTTTTTATTATTACTATTTTGTTATTTATTATTTATTTATTTTAATTTTAATAAATTTAAAAGTACCCCTAAAAACTCCAGTGTTACAGTTGCCAAGAAGAAGGCATGTCTCACTAAGAAACAAAGGGACCCTACACGTGAAGAAAATTGTTTCCATTGTGGTGTCATTGAAAATTGGAAATCGATTTGTTTGACTTATCTATTAGAGTTGAAAATATACAATAACAAGTGAGGAATGTGGAAGATCTAAAAAGGAATATTGAAGGCAAATGGGAGCTGACGACTGGATCATGACATTTACTAGTTTTTAATTTTGAAATTTGTTTTTAGTATTTCCAGTTATGTATTTTTGGAATAATTTGGTGTTTGGAACCTTATTTGGACACAATAAGTATATATGTATTATGTGATTTGGGTGTATCATATTATGTTCCTATCATGTCCTTATCATATTACTTGAATGAAATGAATGCACTTAACTATGTTTCAAAAGACGTTTTTATATTTGTCACATGAACTAAGTGCAAACTTGAAGCATGTCAATCTAGTTTATAACCATAAATCATATGAACCTATGATAAGTATTACATTTGCATGAAAATTGACAAACCCCTTGTTGGGAGTTTCTTTTTTCACACATTCATATAAGGATGCTCTAGGTATATCCAATAATGTAAAGGATTGTAATAAGTTTTTTGCTAATACTGATGCATAAGATGCAAGAAATTATCAAGCGAAGTTATGATTAGATATATAAGTTTTCCATTTTTCCATTTATGTTGTGATGGTTCGTCTTTTATGATTCTAACTAATAAATGAAATTGAGACATCATAAGTCATTATGAGTTTGGGAGTATACCTATAATGAAATACCTCAATCAAAGATCTTGAGCCACATTATGAGTTTTCAAGTTAATGTCCCTATAATTATTAGGATCTTTTAATACGATGCAAGTGAAACTCTTGATAATGCTTCATTCAACGTTTTCCCTTAGCGTTATTTTTTTCAAAGAGGCAAACGGGATCTCTTTTACAAACAAGGATTTCTGTGAGATTTATAGATCCTTCAACTTAAGGTCATAAATGGAACATACATTATTTTTGCAAGTTTCGACCTGATTCAATCCCTTTACCCAGGTATTGAATTAAGGATATTTTACCTCTCGGATAACAAGAAAAGTAGTCGATAAGAGCCACCGTATCATATATGATTTAGACATAACACTATCTGGTACTTATAAACACCTTTCTATGAGGATGGTTTACATGTGTGTTGTAAAGCAAGTCGATCTTTATATATGTTAATGATGTGTACATGAAACCTTCCTAAGGATATCAAGCGAGCCCATCCTACCTTAAGAAGAAGATTTGCATGTTTTCATTAGAGCTACTGATAGCATTATCACTTGTCCCAATCTAATATGAGATATAATTCATAGGAAGCTGTTTTTTATCAAAGTTTGTAGAATATTAACACGTTTTCGAAAATACATTATTATGACTAAATCGGAAACCATAATGTATATAAAATCCATTGACGTAAGTTTTTTGAAGATAATGTAAAAAATTAGATCCAGAAAGTGTTTCATGATGTGTGACCTCCTTCGGACGATCACACCAATGTAACATGTCACTAATACCATATTGGATTAGGTACGTAAATCACTAGACTTTTCTTCCACCAAGCCAATTACAAATCACATGTCATGTATTTTCTATGAGATTAAATATATATAAGCATTGAATTAGAAAATGATTCATTAGAGACTATTCTAAAATTCTATGTAAAATTAGGGACAAAACGAAGGCTTGATAATGAGATCAACACTCAATTGTACTATTGATGCAAACCTTGAGCTTTGTTGAGAGAAATATTGATGATTTTATCTTACCATCTTTCATAATTATATGAAGCACCAGACATAATAATTTACTCTTGAAAAGAGCAATATGACATACCTAACAAATGATAGCAATGGATGTCTGAACATAGCTTCGATTTGTCACACTTTCGGGACCATGTGAAAATTTAGAGTTCAATTATCCCATAAGAGTAAAAGATTTCTAGAATAATTAAAGTATGTTTAGACACATACATGTACTTCTATAAAGCACTTACATATGTTGTATAATTTCTAAGAAAAAACCAAACACTATCCTTTATCATTGGCATTTATGGTAATTAGGAACAAATAAAGGTAGTGGTTAATGAAAAGGTTAACTCGAGTGATATCACTTATCAATATATTAATACCATGTCTTTTAGGCATAAGGTTATCAAGGGTATTGGAGCTATTTTGTTGAAATAGTGAAATTGCTAGTTTAAGAAATTGATGTTCAAATAATAGAGCACTAAACAATGATGTATCATCATGAGGAATTAATGCACGAGGTGCATTATCTACGTCAAACATGATCGTGCTCTATGTTTTCATGTTTAAACCCTGAAAGGGGTGAGAATAAGTTTGTAAATTACATAGTTGGTCACGGATGCTAGAGTGACAATATAATGTTTTGTGTCATTTTTGACTTGGATACATCTTAGTAGAGCTAAAACCACATGCATTATAGTTGATGAATATTGGAAATGACACACCTCAAGGTTGCACTTCATCTTTAAGTGAACCTGAACAAACTTTTACGATGCTTTATGTCTTTTATTTCCTAACTTTTGGATGAACATGGCTTCATAATTTGAAGTATCTCAACGCTTATACAAAACAAGCAGATATTTACCCCCCCCCCCCCCCCCCCCCCCCCCCCCCCCCCCCCCCAATAATGGTTGAAGAGCCAAAGTCCAAGTTGACAATTGAACCCACCAGAGCCAAACTTTTCTTTTTCTTTTCTTGTTGTATTAATATAACCTAAATTATTATCTTATTTTATTAAAAAGATTATTACATTTTTCATCATCTAAAAATAATAGAACGATGGATAGGAAGAAAAAGCAGGATGATAATTTTTCTTTCTTAATGAAAATATATTATTAGTATTATTATAATCCTGTTAATAATTTTGATATCTGGAATTTATGACAGGATCTTATTATATATATAGAATGATTTCAAACCCCCTTAGGAAACAGTTCTTTGATTTCATTGGTTGCTTTTTTCTGTTTTTTTAGTTTCTGCATTTATTTATTCACTAATTTTTTTTATAGTGGATTACATGTGTCTATACCTTTACATGTGTCTTCACCTCTGCTCATACTATCTATGTGTTCGTTTTCTGCTTCTTTTCTTTTGACATATCAACGTTTTCCACCGACTGCCTTTTGCCATATCACGACCGCCGCCACAGTCGGCACGGCCCAACCTTACCTCGCCTCCAGATTTTGGTTCACTACATATATGCCGTCCTTCCGCAATCCATTTGCTTCCCTCTCATCCCACCTCCACCGTCGCCTACCTCCGTTAGGGTTCGCCATCTAATCTCAGGTATGATCTTCAGGCAGGTGTTTTAGATAACGGTTTGGATTGATGTGTAATTCCATTTGGGTATAACCATGTCCAACCTCGGCCCTAATTTTTTTCTTTCGTTCTCTCATCTATAATTTCTTTTTCGATTTTTTCTTTCAGCAACTTCCAGTACCCGTGTACACTTGTTGCTGGGCACCACCACTGTCGTATTCAGGGCCGGCGACATGGATTTCCGGAGATGATGCGATCAGCGACAGAGGTGTAACATCGATAAAATTGGTAAGACCAATTAGAGCAACACCCCGATCATCTATGTTTTTGCCACCACGAATCATCAGTGAGTCGGTTTTGTCTATTGTGTCCGCCTTTTACATCTCCAGATGAATGACATGCCACATAAAGCTATTTTTTATTTTATTATTATTTTTTTTTTCTATGAGGTGCAGGTCGACCTCGAGGTCTCGTTGGAGTATCTATCTTTAATTTCCCGGTAAACCCCACCTAACATACCATTTTCTGATTTTGCAGCTTTATTATTGTTCTTAAGCAAGTTATATTTCTCCTATTCCTTTGTGATATGAGATTTTATAGGTTATATACTCCGGACTTGCAAGCAAATTAGTTTGGTTTTCCCCTGTATTACATGTTATTTACTATTTTGTTGCATAGAGGTTTAGCTGTAACATGTACAAGAGGTTTGGAATCATTATCATGTGGCAGATTGAAATCTGTACCAAAATACCCCTATAAATAACTGATTTGGTATCATTGATTAAGCGTGCTGTTTCCGAGGATTATGGCATCTTCTTCTGTTGAATGTTGATTTGAAGATGGCTATGTACTTTTTCCTAAATTCAATCTGTGTTTTTTCTTATTGAGATTATGATTTTGTGTTTCAGTTTGAAGTAATTCTTAATGTCCACTTTTTCTCTCTATCTTGTGTGTTAAATACATCAATTATCTAATTATAGTTCCAATTTTCTAAAATGGATTTCTTTTGATTATTGATACCAGGTTCTACGCTTTCTAATTATGCAAATCTGCCTATAAGATGAACAGGAAGTACAATTTCAGGTAATTTCATAAACAAACTATTTTGGTTACTGGTCTCGACTATAGACTGTTGCCAGTTAGCCCCAATTCAACTGTCATTTATATCATTCATATTTTCTGATGCGAGATTAAAATTAATCAATATTCAGTTGGATTCATCTCATAAAGTTGGTTCATATTTATACCAACCAGTCCTCACTACTTTGTAGGGGTGACATCAAATGGAGATCAGTCCACTAATATAGAAACTGCAGGCCAGAATGTTGTGTTATGTGAAAAGTATGGCCAAATTATTCTTAGAAATTAATCATACCGATAATAGCATGTAATCCTGTAAAGCATTTTACAAGTTTCATCTTAAACATTGCTTTTATCTGTAAAAAGAATACCAAAGTATGTTGTTGTTTTGGATAAATAAATACGAGTAAATTACCTATATTTATAACCTTGATATTGTTTTTGACAGGAATGCTTGATCGATGGACGTTTACATTGTTGCAGGCAGCGACAAAACCACAAGGCCGATGTTCAATGTAGTAAAATTTGGTAGAAAATATAAAACACGTATTATGCCACATACGATTATAAATGGATCTTTTTATAAGTTTGACAACAACAGATAATTATACCCCACTAATCTTTATTTATTTTTAGGCCTAATTTAGCTCAGTTATCTAGAATAACAACTAGATAATTTATCTATTGTTGATAATGTATTTCTATTTTACAGTCGAAAAAACTTGAGACCATCAAAGGCAACATCTAAGGAAAACAACAAGCAGGAGCAAAATGGTCAAAACAACAAAAGACACTTCAAAATGGTCAAAACAATATGTGGCTGTGATGTGTGTGTTTGTAATATGTATCTACGTGCATCTGTGATTGAATCACATGTTTTAGGTTGGAGGGAGTGGTGCCACTGAAACCGCACTCCCTCATGTGCCACGTAGACGCCAACTCATAAATTTTCTTATTTCATCAATTTGAAACTGGTTAGGAGAGAGAAAAGAAAAAGAAAAAAGAAAGAGATGATTGGTTGAGAGAAGAGAGAGAACAAATAAAGAGGAGAGAGAGAAAGGAGAGTGCGGCCATGGACTACCGCAGTGCGGCCTCCACCGCACCTAAACAGTGGAGGGGCGGTGTTCATGCTGAGGTGGAGGGAAACTGCGGTCTCTACCGCAGCTACTCCCTCAAGCCTTACAACCGAACACTTTCTAACCCCCGCAAAGCAGGAATCATTCCCTAGTTATAATTAAAAGACAACCTGTTTTATAACTAAAATTCTCATCTTATTTTATTAATAAGTTTTTATTACATTTGTTAAAGTACTAAGGTCCGGTTTGTTTGCATTTTAATACCACTTAATAAGGGGCAGGTCTGAATCGGTAAGATTCAGACTGTTTGTTTACCTCTTATTTTGTGGTCTTAATCTGAATTTTACCACTTACCGAATCAGACTTGGAAGCCCATCTGAAAAGAAAAAAAAGACGCCCTAGCCCTCTCTTCTCTTTGTTCGCTTTCACTTGCTTTCTCGCTTCCAGGTTATACTCTCGCCAACCGAAGAAGGCATTCCTCCCATCCTCATCTGCCGTCGTCGCCTCCCTTCCAAACGCCATCTCCTGCCGCCGTAGCCACCCTTCCCAGTGCCATCTCCTGTCGTTGCTTCCCCATCGCCGACTTCAGCAGCATCATCAGGTTTGGCTTTTCATCTCTTTTCTTCTCGTTTTTTTTTTTCCTGATGTTCTTTAGCCGACTCCAGCAATCGGGTTTATCACTGACTCCTATTTTCCTCCCATCATCATCAATTTTTTTCTTTTGTCTCGTTTTTTTCATGTTGTTCTTCAAAATCATGTGCTGAAATATATTGTTCTTGTTGATTTCCAAAATCATGGGTTGATTTCTTGTTGATTTCCAAAATATGTTGTGATGTTGATTATAAGTTGTTGATTTCTTGTTGATTTCTGAAAATAAGTTGTTGATTTTGTTGATTCATAACTGAAATCTATTGGTGAAACTTGTTAATAATGTGATTACTGATATGTGCTGAAATATATTGTTCATTTGCTGAAATAAGTTGCTGATTTTGCTGTTTATGTGTTGTTATTTGCTGATTTGTGCTGTTTTTGTGCTAATTTTGATGATTTGTGCTGTTTTTGTGCTAATTTTTACTGTTTATGTATTGATATGTGCTGAAATTATATTGTTCAAACAATTATGTGCTGATTTGTGTTGTTATATGTTGATTTGTTATTGAAATTACACTAGACATGTCACAAAAGAAGCCTAGGATTAGTTGGAAGGTAGAAGCTATTGAAAGAGCTTTTCTATATATAATACTTCCTTCACTCATGTGTATAGATAAATATTACATTTGCGATGTTGCATACACCAACACTCGTGGATTTATGACTCCTTACCGCAACACGAGGTATTGGTTAGCCGATTTTCAACGACGACGTGCGTTAACTAAGGAAGAAAAATTCAATCATGCACATGCGCAACTCAGAAATGTTATTGAACGTGCTTACGGTGTTTTGAAGGCGAGATTCCCAATCCTAAAGCGAATGGCTCCTTTTCCTTTTTCAGTGCAAAGAGATATAGTCATTGTTTGTTTTGCAGTCCACAATTTCATAAGGAAATGCGATATTCATGATGAGTTATTTATGGCATTCGAGGAGAATAATGGTCAAGCACAAGGGGGAGAGAATGATGGCCAAAACGTAGACGATATGGAATGGGGTTTACAAGGCAATGAATACATGGATAATTTGCGTGACCAGATTGCGAATCAGTTGGGGCCAAATTAAATTTGTAGAATTTTATTTGGATTTTAATATGATTTTGTGGATTTAAAAATATTTATGTTTGATTTTGATTTATGCTAAATTTGGTTTTTATATGGTGTTTATATATTTTTTTAATACGTATTGAAGAAATTTATTAGGTTATTTTCTAAACAAACACTTGAATTCAATAAAAATTAAAACAGAAGGGTAAAATGGTCATTTTAATAATTCAGCACAGCAATTCAGAGGTTCAAACCAAACAACATTTTAAACATTCAGCTCTTAAAATTTCAGACCCTCTTAGAAGTTCAGATCTCTTAATAATTCAGATCTTAAAAATTCAGATCCTGCCAAACAGCCCCTAAATGATGGATAGGAATTAAAAATAACATAATATTAATTTTTTAATGAAAATATATTATTATTATTATTATTATTATTATTATTATTTATCCTTTGGAAATGATTATCATTCCACAATATATATATTTTTTTAAAAATATTTTAGCTAATAAGTTAATAGATTTTAGTTATATTCGTAATTTTTATATCTAGAATTTCTGACGAATCTATTATAATTAAAAGACGACTTGTTTAGAAGTTTTTATAATACAACTTGTTTAGAAGTTTTTAAAATATAATTTTCAACAAGTCATCTTATCATTATATTTCTACTATTAATGTCATCACAGCATCCAGTTGAGCCACGTGTTCCAGAACGGTCCATGACGGCACGTTATCTTTCTCCTTTGGAGGCAAACATAGAATATTCCAATAGTGATTTCACTTTATACTACTATTAATTTGTATTATAAATAAATAAACACGTGTAAATAAAATTTTAAAATAAAATTGTTATTTAATTTATCTGAAGTCGGCTGTAAAAATTAATAGTTTGATAAGAAAACCGATCGACCTATTTTTTAAAGTTTAAACACTTTCATTTCCGGTTCAAAACTTGTCTGGATTGAGTAACTATTTAATTTATTGTCATACTAAATATTCAATGATTATTTAAAATCATTTTAATAAAATGAATGTAACAAAAAAACTCATCATGAAATTCGACCGATCCCGAAATGGAACCGGAATATGGTTCCTAAAAAACTTAAAGAAAATGAAAAAGTAGATCGGCGACTATTCAAAATTATAACCCATTGTTCATTAAGAAATAGCAAATTGTATAAAATATAATAAGTTTAAATAAATTTTAATATTGTGTGTTCTCTTCTTTCTCAATTATAAGTCAATCTTTTTGTTGTAAATTTAAACAATCGACCAATTTAATTCAAGTGTTTCATTTTTCTTACTTGCCGATCAGACAAGTGAGAAACATGAAACATCTAAAACAAATTGATCAATTAGTTAAATTTGCAATTAAATTGTAAACTTAACGATTTATTTGAGAAAAAAACACAATGTCAAAATCGACTTTTTATGTAAACTTAATGTATTTTTATGTAACTTGCCTAAAAAAACTAGACAATATTAATTAGTAAAAATTGAAACTTTTGTGCATCTTTAATATGCATTGCTTTGTGTGTATGTATCTATAGACTTAAATACCCCCATTACAAAAATTATACGTAGTATAAAATAGTTCTCCTACTTATGTTTCATTTAAGAGGGCATTTTCGGAAGATGCTTTATGAAAAATATTGTTGATTAAACCCTAACATGGCTAATTTATATTTGAAAAGCTTAACAAAACGATTGTGTACATTATTCTTGGTATACTTGTTTGCTTGTCATTATGGAATTCATCACATGTGTTTAAGTCAAGCGCATCATTCAAACTCATTTGTTGAGTTCGTGCATGGTTCTTTCCATTTGCAGAAACTAAATATGAACAGCAGATCAATCAAACTATATATTAGTAGTGGTACAATATCAAATCATAATTTGAATTAAATTATGTATCAATATTTATTTAAAAGAATCAAAAAGATAATTTAAGCTTCTTAAAAAAATGACACACGATAATCATATACTTATGATAAAGGTCAACTCCAATCGATAGTTAAGTCAATATAAAATAATGGTCACGCTAAGATTAAGTGAACAATTTAAGATTGGTTTACTTCGGCCTTGTCAAAGCTTTGTTTATCTAAAATATTAAAGATTAAAAGTCAAATCTTACAATAATTTCATTTGTTTAATAATATAATTTTCTATTATTGGTAAGATAAGTGTGAATATAGGTAACCAATATCTAAAGTAATTTCTTAAATAGGAAACCATAGTCTAAGCCTGTTATTTAGACAAATTATTGTAGATAAAATAATATTGTCAACCATATATGCTATATTTTAACAATAGTTCATTTATGATTTTTGTGCTAACATGTCATTAATTACTTCAAAAAAAAAAATTTACAAGCTTATATATAGTATAGGTCTTATCACAAAATACCAATACGAGGGTGTGATAACATCAAAATATCATATTTTTAAGAATATATATATATATATATATATATATATATATATATATATATATATATATATATATATAGCGAAAAGTTCAATAGAGAACCATAATTATTGGTTCTTCAAGGAACCAAATCTTTTTTTTCAATTTCTAGAGCTTATTCTTTATCGGAAAAAAAAATCTAAAAATATCTAAATTCATATATTAACATTGTGAATGTGAAAAATATTTTTCGGATTCACATTGTGAATTTTTAAAGATTCACATTGTGAATTTGACATAAAAAAATCGAATTTGATATCATTGGAAAAATGACAAAAAGTTATGAATTTCTGTATTTTTAGTTTTTTTTTTTTTTGATAAAAAATAAGTTCTAAAAGTTGAAAAAAGATTGGTTCATTGGTTCCTTGGTTAATTATGGTTCTCTATTGAACCTCAACGTGTGTATATATATATATATATATATATATATATATATATATATATAATATATATATATATATATATATATATATATATATAGCGAAAAGTTCAATAGAGAACCATAATTATTGGTTCTTCAAGGAACCAAATCTTTTTTTCAATTTCTAGAGCTTATTCTTTATCGAAAAAAAAATCTAAAAATATCTAAATTCATATATTAACATTGTGAATGTGAAAAATATTTTTCGGATTCACATTGTGAATTTTCAAAGATTCACATTGTGAATTTGACATAAAAAAAATCGAATTTGATATCATTAGAAAAATGATAAAAAGTTATGATTTCTGTATTTTTAGTTTTTTTTTTTTTGATAAAAAATAAGTTCTAAAAGTTGAAAAAAAGATTGGTTCATTGGTTAATTATGGTTCTCTATTGAACCTCAACGTGTGTGTGTATATATATATATATATATATATATATATATATATATATATATATATATTATATCTATATATATATATAACAAAATACCATGAGTCCCCAAAAAAAATGTAATTTGAAATTCATGAGATAGAAGACAAACTTTTTGTGGTTTTTGATTCTATTAGAGAAACCTTTTTTTTTAAGGTCTACTAAAATGTATCGGGATTACATTTTTTTACCAAGGAAATGACACCATAGCAAATAAATATTTAATACATTTGTCAACCTATTTGAAATTCATTTTGATTTGGCTAATATATGAATTTCGCGAACAAAGTAACAATTTTGGGCAATTTTTTTGTTTATATAGTAAGCTTTAGATATAGAAGTCATTTTTTTATTAGTTTAGATGTTATGTCAAATGTGGTATTCCATCTACATAATCAGGTTGACATTTGACTATATCTTTGCTTTAAATATAGCTTCCAAACTAAAAGAGCATTAACTAAAATTTAAATTTCGTGAAATCTTCTAACATGTTCTAATATATTTTTGTATCCTATTCTTCCAATATTTTACATGTCGGGTGAATATGAAAGTTTTTTTATATTATTATATAAACATACTGATTTTCGTTTACCATATTTCTTCCTTGATCACATTTACGATCCAAGAACAGCAATCATGATACCCTTCAAACATTTCACGAAATCGTGACTAACAAGCTTCTTCATGATATTCTTTGATCACATATTTGTTCATTAAGAACAGCAATCGTGAAACCCTTCCAATGATTTGCAAAACTATATATTTTAGATATTAGTCATTGTGGCAACGTACTTTTATTAACAAACTAAGGGTAAGAAATCCGTGCAGAAAATTTCTCATTTAAAATTTTCGAAGAGAAGTACGGTTGTAAAACGAACAAATGTTTAAAAGAAACATGCAAACAAAGAATTTTTAAATTCCTAAAAAAATTAAAAAAAAAAAAGAAATCAAATTAAAAAACTAATTTTAAAGAACGAAGAAATTTACAATAAATTAGGGAAAATATGTAAACAATATTTAGAGAATTCGTAAATAATATGACATTTTAGAAGAGATAAACTAAAGTTGTAAAAATACTAGTAAAAGAAGTTGTAAAAATAATATTTTATAAAAAATTAAGTTTTAAAAATAAAAAATAAAAAAGGTGTATCTAAACCTGGGGGCGCGCCATATACTCAAAGAATGTTAAAGGGGGTTTAAATATTGATAAAGCTCGTAACAAACTATTGATTTTTTTTTTTCATATATCATTAAATTTATTGAATCTTTTTACATTTTATCATTGTGACCGACTGTTGCATGTTATAAAGATAAAATGTGAACAGTTTCAACAATAGATGATATATAATGTAAAAAAAAAAGAATGAGACTAAGGCCCCGTTTGATACGCATCTTTCCAGGTCCAAACAAATCTTTCTGGCTGAATGGACCGGAAAGGCTGTTTGGTTTGCACAAATGTGAACAAAATTAAAAGTTTTTTTTTTAGAACCAATATTTATGTGAACTTTAGATTTTTTTTTCTAGTCAATTTTTTTTTTCAAAATTAACACCACTACATCATCCTTAGTACATCGTCAAAACGAGTCGCACCATAATAATAATAAAATGATATTTTTTGTAATATGTAGATATAAACAAACATGAATATATATAAATTTGAATATTCACAAATGTACATATATACACA